TAGTCTCTCTAATGAGTCTGTTAAGTGTTAGGATTTAGCTAGTTTAAACCCTGAATTTTATCTTAATTTAACAGAGGTTGATAGGCTTTTTTTGGCTCAGAGAAGAAAAGTTTGGCTTTCCAGTAACATAAAAGGAAACACAGGGACACTTGATACAAATGAAAAGGATATTATTTACCTTTACATTCTCTCTGCAATGCAAATGAACAGTCAATTGTTTTCTAAAGTCAAACTAAATATATGCCTCTTTTCTATTTTCCTTTGTTTATTAGGTGACAGTAAACAATCAGTTAGTGGCTTTGCCTTATAAAAAGTTTGGCGTGAGCATCTATGAGTCAGGCATAAATCGTGTTGTGGAAATTCCTGAGCTAAAAATGAATGTGACCTACAATGGCTTGTCCTTTTCTATCAGAATGCCCTACAGCCTGTTTGGCAACAACACTCAGGGACAGTGCGGTAAGGCTTGCTCTTGCAATATTTGTACTCTCAGAAAACCACAATGACAGCCCTGCTACAAAGATGAATAGAATTTGATAACAAATCTGTGAGTGAATTCTTTCTCCCCTTACCCATCTTAGGTACTTGCAATAACAACACCGCAGATGACTGCATGTTGCCGAATGGAAACATTGCAGAAAACTGTGAAACCATGGCAGATCACTGGCAGGTTGTTGACCCCTCCAAACCACAGTGCTCTCCAGGCCTAAATCCTACAAGTTCACCTAGCACAACCCCAGCACAGCCTTGCAAAGAATCTTCCATCTGCGAGCTTCTTTTGGGAAGGTAGACATTCCTCTTGGGTTTACAAGCCTGGTATCTTCAATTGAATTGGCAATTTTAGGATTAATTTTTCAATGAAAAGTGTTTCTATCTTTTATTTCTTGTAGCTTTGTGGGTTGCTTCCACTCCTTTTACTTTTTCTGGTTGTTATTCTTTGCTGACAGTTTCTTTCAACTCGCTGACTGCTATGTTAACCTTCATTGATGTTCTCATGTGCTTCTACAGTCTTTGCCCTCCTCTTTCCTATGCCTTTTCCCACATTCACTTAGCAGAAAACAGAGTCCAACTGAAAACATAGATCTTAATTTTGAAAACACCGTGTCAGAATTAAAAAAACCCCAAACCCAAACCCAGACAAAATGTCTTTAAAGAGGGAGCACCTGGTTGCACTCAGTAATATTCATGTAGCTCCTGGCCTGAAAATACTTGTGTCTGAGTGCTTTGTAGGTGAGTGGAAAATACTTTAAGATATGTTGAAAGGTTACAATCTGGATAAGTGCTCTCAGTAAAAATCTCTCATCCATAGTCCATGTCCACATCTTCTGTTGCCACATCATACCAGGTTAAGCACATTGAAAAATTTATGGATCATTCAATAACTAATAATGATAAATATTTCTGTTTCTAGTGTGTTCAAGCCATGCCATGAGTTTGTGCGACCTGAAAAGTACTATGCAGCCTGCATTTTTGATAGTTGTGTACTTCCCAACCTAGACCTGGAATGCTCAAGTCTGCAGATCTATGCTGCCACCTGTGCTGATCAAGGTGTATGCCTTGACTGGAGAAGTCACACCAATGGTGTATGCTGTAAGTATTTGGCCGTTTATCTTGAATTATTAAGGAAGCTTGTATGGAAACATTTCAATAGTAATGTCATACTGCTTTCCGAGCAATGAAGACAGCAATAAATCACACCAGCTGCTTTCCTTAAGTAATTTTGCAGTTAACATTTTTAACAATGGAAATTTAAATGAACCTGCAAAAATAAACAACTATTGACTGTGCCAGAAACATCTGTATCAGTACATACCTTTTATGTACACAGAAAGTTTTGTGTTTTGTAAGCATCAGCAGATCACTCTATTTAGTGATATATGCATTACTTTTCAGCTGTAGTAAGAGGACGACAAAGAGTAAGAATACACTCCCTTCTGAGAATTTGTGCAGAAGAGACTGAAATGATGAAAAAGAATTGTAATCGAGATGTAGATTCTTGGCTTTATCACATTAATGTAAAGATGGTTCCCTATCTCTATGGCTAAATTGCATAAAATAATTTTATTTGGAGAGATGAGTCTGATATCTGAGATTTTTTATCCTTTCTTCTCAGGGTTGTCACAGATACATAGGAAAATGAGTAAACACTGTTTAAGTTCTTGACATAAGGTCATGAGGCTTTTATATGACAGTTACTGAGCTCTTCCTCCTTTTTATTCTTCCATTCCAGCTCATGAATGCCCCTCAGGAAAAGAGTTCAGAGCATGTGGTCCTATTAAAGAACCAACCTGCAAATCAAGGTAAATAATTAGTTAGTTATACCTTCTACAACTGTTCACTCATATCTAATGCACAGGTGAATGAGGAAAATCAACCTCCTTTCATATCTTAAACTGACAAATTTGTTACCACTGTTCTGTTGATCCTATGTCTGGGTGCCTCTACTGTTTATGTTGTTCAGCTAGACCAAACACAAACACTGATAATCCCTAATCACAAATCTGCAGATCATTTGGCACTTTATCTTCAGTGAAAGGTTATTTGGCATAATCCTCCTCTATGTGCCTATGACAGTAATGGTGTTCCTCTGAACATTTTGTTTCATAGCCACCAAAATGAAACTTCAACTAAACAAGTGGAAGGCTGTTTCTGTCCCAATGGAACAATGCTGTATGACTCTGGCGTGGATGTCTGCGTGAAAACCTGTGGTGAGTTTTACCACTTCACTTGGATGCATATTTGCTTCCTCTTTGTTGTTTCCTTCTTATGTATGCAACACAGGTCTGACTGTATGCAGTCAACATATAGTAGAGATGCCTACTGGTATGTAACTGGTAATGGAGATTTATTTTGATATTTTCACAGGCTGTGTTGGAGTGGATATGATCCCAAGAGAGGTACGATGCCATATGCTTTTGGATTAAAAGTAGAAGTTGGGGGTTGGGAGAAGAGAGCGGTCTCCACTGGTGCAGGCTTGTTTTGTGGTTTCCCAACTTTTTATTCCTGATTTTACTTCTGATCTTTTTAATTGGTAACTGTGCAATCACTAATTTTATTTTCTTTAATGACAGTTTGGGGAAAAGTTTATAGTAGACTGTCAGGACTGTGTTTGCCTGGAAGGGGAATATGGCATTGTATGCCAGCCTCATCAATGTCCTGAACAACATGTCACTTGTAATGGAGAAGGCTTCTATCAGGTCACTGAAGTCAATCCTGAAGACTCCTGCTGCCCTCTTGTCACCTGCAGTGAGTTTATACTATGTTTCTAGTTTTTCTGTACTGCTTAGAAACAGAAAGAGACTGAACTACTTTAGCACCAGAGACCTGCAGCAGTTAGTCCCAAAACGGTATTTTTCCTCATGCCTTTTAAAATCAGCAATTAAAATGCATTTTAATAGTGAAATGATTCAGGATAACTGAATCTACAGTTATGAGACTCAATACAACTCAATTTCTAGTTCTTGAGTTTTATTCAAGCAAGAATTCTCTGTGGATTTTCTTTTTGTAGCAGTTGCCTATAATACTGGAGAGAGTAAAAGCTGTTCATTACTTCTCTGCATAGAATTGGGATACTTTATTAATACAGGATAATTACCTAGTAGAAAAAGTTTCATAAACTAATGCAGTACCCCCAAACCAGTGCCTAGATTTACTAGGAAAAATATGTTCCCTTTCTGCAATTTGTTTATCTAAAGAGAATCTGGTCTGTTTCCTATGGAAAGTTCATCCTAAATGCTTTGATAGGTGCTTATTTCTAGTAGTTGTGATTTAGTGTACTTTTTGGCTTATTCTTTTTTTTTTTTTCCTCAGAATGCAACACAAGCCTCTGCACAGCTAAAGCTCCCAAGTGCACACTGGGATTTGAAATTCATTCTTATATTCCCAGTGGTCAGTGCTGTCCTGTATACCAATGTGGTAAGTTCCTTGGAAATATATTACAATGATTAGCATTATATATTACAGAATTTATCATTACACTTAGTAAGAATGTATGCAATAGCCTATTGCAGGAGATATTCAACACAGTCAGATTCTAGAAACTGGTTACTATTAACATTGGTTACTACTGCTATAGTTATGACAACTAGGAAATCAGAAACACCTCAGGTGACTCAAGTTCAATTCTCCTGATTGTAAATACATGTAAGATCAGCTACAGAATTAACTGTGACTGTGGTCTCAGCTTAATCTAGCAAAAAGTCCCTATAAGCATCCCCAGTAGAAGACAGCTTTACAAAGACTACTTTGTTCTTGGTAATTGAAAGAAGGAAGTACTTGGTACCTATTAACTGGACATTCTTGGCTATGAACTGGACTGCATGTATTAGGACAAATCTTCCCTTTTTGCACATGCAGTATTAGTTCTTATACTTTATATATGTCGTGTCTGCTACCAGAATGGAGGAATAACCAATGAATTTGAATTCATTGTGGAAGAAATGAGTTTGACTAGAGTGGTGCGAAGACATTTTTTATTCTTTTTTCCTACGTTAACATCTAACTTCTTGCTTATTAACAGTTCCCAAGGGGGTCTGTGTTCACGAGAGTGCTGAGTTCTTGGTAAGTTCTAAAAATGCCTAAAAGACCAGTTAGTATACTTGATCACAAATACTGTGAAGAGGTTTATCCAGTACAATCAATATTTTAGAAATTTTCCACTTTCTGTCGGGAGGTCATCAATTTCACAAAGCCTAAATCTCTCCTGAAAAGCTTGTTGTGTATGAAAGAAATGGAAGAGTTGCTTATGTGTCAGTATCAGGAGAGAGATTTGGGTTAAATGTGCTTGCATTTAAAAAAGTCAGTCCCCATTTATTGTCAGTACATCATTGCAGTTTTAAGACTCTGCTTTCAAAAATTAAAAGATATGTGAATAAGTGCTATTCTAAACAAACCTAAATTTCTAATAAATTCTACTGGACCTAGTAATTGTGCCTGTCCTTCTAATATCAGAGTTTATCATTGCTATGTAGGACTTCAATAAAGACACACATTAAATTATATTCAGTGTTTAAAATGTTGTCTTTATAAATGGCTAGCCAGATAGCTATCCAGTTGTCTTTAAGATTTTTTCCTTTTTCATTGCTTGATTTACAGATTTTTTGAAATTAATAAATGTCTGTCAAACATGTCATATACCATTAACATATGATTTTTTTTCTTAAAATTTTTAGCCTAACTCCTCAGTCTTTGTTGATAAGTGTCAGAATTGTTTCTGCACAAATGAAGTTAACGTCAGCACTCAACTGAATATCATCTCATGTGAACCTGTTCCATGCAATACGTACTGTTCACCGGTAAGTGACAAACAAAAAAACCCAAAATACCCATTTATGTGAAAATCACTTTGATCAATGAGTGGTATTAAGCAAAGAACAGGGAGCTGAAATTCAGAGACCAACTCCGGTGTGGATGCCAACTGTCCTTCGAGCAATCTGCTGCATGCAGCTTGACTCCATAACTGACAGTATTCAGTTCATATTGGCCAGATTAGCTGGGAAATTTCTGTAGAGCACTTAATGGAGGGATATTCAATTATTAGGCATATTTATTGCATTGCAGTGCTTTAATTTATTCCATCTATAACCTGCTTTTATTATTTGTCTTCTATTGGGTTGGAACACAGAAAGTCACAAATCTAGAGTGCACTTCAAAGTATAATCAATCAATGGATTGGTATGTTTTCATTTATTTCTCAAAAATTCATCTATTATAGTGCTATTGTTTTTAATTAATTTTAATATCTAGGGATATGAACTTCAACCAGTGAAAGGTGAATGTTGTGGAAAATGTGTGCAGACCAAGTGTATTATACATGCAAACAATGATGAACTCATCTTGAGTGTAAGTATGCTCTATGTTCTGTGTCTCTACCAAATATGTAAAGTTCCCTGTTTCAGAAGGGGAACATCTCCTTGCCAGAGACAAGGCTTAGTGTAAGTTTGCACCTGAAAGATCAAAGACTCATCTAAAGCAAAACCTATCTACAATATTTTGACCTGAAGGTAGGTCTCATGAAATCAAATTTTCTGGAAGGCTCTTCTTGGAATGACAAATCCAATACCATTGGAAGGGATTTTCTTTCAGTTGTCTGGAAGCTTGGGCTTATCTATGCTGTTTGATTTCTGTATGAACACTTGTAAAGCCTGCATATGGAACAATTGCATTGCCCCTGTAGGGTGGAAGTTTAGGGTTGTTCTTAATTAGCATATAATGGTCTAGCTGTGTGTGGATGATTTTGTTAAGGTACTCTACATAGTTTAGAGGCATTTTTCTTTCTCAAGGAAAATCCCATGTAAAACTGAAGATTCTTTCCATGTATGGCACATTGCAGTACATGTAACAATCTGTCTCTGAAATGGCTCTTAAAAATAATTTACTGGGAAACAAGAGGAAAGTTATTGTCAGAGGACAAGAAAATTTGTCTGAGCTCCCTTCAGCTTTTCTTATTACATTTTGCATTTTGCTTGCAGCCTGGAGAGTTTAAAAATGATCCTAACAACAACTGCACCATTTATAGCTGTGTAGAGATCCACAACCAGCTTATCTCTTCCACATCTGAGATTACCTGTCCAGCATTTAATGAGGACAGCTGCAAACCTGTAAGTAAAAATGGAAAATTTACCCTCTACTCCATATATAGATTACTTCAGTTTAGTTCAGCCATCTGACTAAGAACAAAAGTAAAATTAAGCTCTGATGACCCTTCACCATAGTTTCTCAGTCACAAGGGCAAAAGTTTCTAATGCATCCATGCACAGCCCTATACAGTGTATAAAATATCTGGGTGAGAATTTGAGGCTTATAACTGGTAACTGTCTCTCAGTAGCCAAAATATTGGTCAGCACTGAGATGCTAAGTCTTTGCTGATTGCTTTGTTTGGGGTCCTGTCTCAACAGGAACCATGTTTTCTTGAATGTTACAGAAACAGAAGTTGTTCAGTCAATAGGCTGCCAGTAACACTGTGCATACTCCTCATTCAAATACAGAAAACTTAAAGAAAGCATTTATTGGAATAGTTTCTGACTAAAAATGACATTATGTTAACTGTAGACTTCTTTCAAAGAGTTATTTTTATTTTCACAATCCTTTTTAAATTGATAGATTTCAAGTCTGGAAGAGACCATTTTCTTTACTTATTCAGATCGATGCTGCAGTGTTCACTGGTTGTTTCCAGCCATTGATTGACGAATTGCTCTCTTTAGTTATTGGCATAAAAGCCTCTTTCAATACTGAGAAATAAAACAATATAATTTTTTTCTGTTTCTTTGTTCTTTTAGGGAACTATTTCATTCTTACCTAATGGTTGTTGCAAAACCTGTAAGTATCCCAGTGTACCTGAATCAACAATACAGAGAAAGAATTGTCTTCTTTAATTGAACCATTTTCCAGCAATAGAGGCTGATATATTTCTATTTAAATAGATATTTTTATATTTATGTTTGTTATTCCAAGCATTCACTGTCCAATCTCTCTGGAAAAGTTTAAGCTGAAGCAGAAAAACCACTTAAGACAGTTCTTTGAGTGCACTAGTGAAGCTGAGGGAATGCTGAACTGCAAGGAATTTCTGGAGGTATTTCACTGTGCGTATTTTCTGATCTTTCCCTATAGGTGCACCTCTGGATAGCAGTACACCATGCTCTGTCCGTGAAAGAGAAGACTTTATTGTCTATAATGGCTGCCGTTCCGTGGACAGAGTTGTCATGACTGAGTGTGAAGGAACATGTGGAACTGTCTCGCTGTAAGTAAACTTATCAGACAATGAGATTGAAATTCTGCTGGCACTGAGCTTGTTTATATAAAAGGAACAATAAATAGGCAGACTGCAGAATGGTAGAAGACTTGGGACTATCTGCTCCCCAAATCATAGACACAAAATCATGAAATCTGTGACTGAACAGTTGATTTGTCTTAATGCAAAGCAGAAGAATGTATTAAATTTCCTTGGGATTCAAACAGATATGATAAGGTCTATTCATCCAGTAACAACTGCCTTGTCTGTCATTTGTGTCAGACCACCTCTGCTAGAAATCATCACAAAAGAACGTGGATAATTTCCTGTACTAGGAATGAGCCCAGGGAGCAGCCAGACTTGATACTCTTAAGCTCAAAAGCTACTTCTCAATAGTTAACATCTAAAATGAAATACACATACATCTTTTAAAGGAAGATTCAAACCTACAGTTTTTATACAGTAAATAAATTAGAAAACTAATGCTTTAGGGATGGTATTAGTAGAGTATTTTGACTGTACATTTTTCTCTGAAATGAGAGAATATACAAAAAAGTGGCTATAAGGGAGTGGCTAGTAGGACACCTGGTAGTGAGCACTGGAAAAACACAATTCTAACTCCCCAAAGAAACTGTCACTTGCTGCCTATCACTGAGTATGCCACTGGGTACCTTACATGGGAGAAAACTGATTTTTAGTATCACATGAAACTATGATTGGCTGGGGAGTTTATTAGTATTTTGAAATACCTTATGATCCTAGGGTCTTTCTGTGGTTGCTTCTGCACACAAATACAAAAAAAAAAGGTGAATCTTGATGCAGTTCATAGCCTGATATAGACATATTCTTCAGGTTAGGAATGGTACTTGGGAAGCTGATGAACACAAGACTGCAAAAAATACTTTGAGATAGAAACAGAAAGAGCTGCTGCTTCCCTTTCCTGTTAATACCGCCCTGACTGGGATATGCATTTTATTCCCATGATGCAATTATAGCTTTTGTAGACAATTGATTGATGTGATGCCATTCTATATGGCGTTGTAGCCCTTTGTCTATGCAGTTTTCATATTCAGGTCAAGGCTTTTTCTCCCCCTAAACTGTTGATCTGGTGTATTTAACATCCATCAGTGCTAGGATTATGAGAGGGATCTAAGGAAGCTGATGATCTTGTACTCACTGAGGGTTCTTTATAGGACTTTGATATGAATGGTTTTACCAAAAAAAAGAAATCTCAGCAAGTGCAATGAACTTTAAAAGCATATTATTATAATCACTGTTCTGTTAGATGAGCTTAGCGCTTCCATTAGCCACAACTGCGGCTTCTCACAGGAGTTCTGTATGTGATTTCACCCTTTCCTTCTGTATGTTGGCTTCTGGCACTGAGTAACGTTGCCATTTTCTATTTTATTAGATACTCTGCTGAGGCCAATTCTATGGATCACAGCTGTTCCTGCTGCAGAGAATCAAAGACTACTGAGAAGTATGTGGTACTGAAGTGTCCTGGTGGGCACTCAATGTCACATAAGTACATCTATGTGGAAAGCTGCAGCTGTCAAGACACTCAATGCCAGATCCCACAATCCAGTGAGTTGCAGACAAGAAAATGACAAGGCAAGATCTCTGAACCTACCAAGAGGGCCATCAGCCTAACATCAAAATGAAGACAGGAAAAAACTAGCAGCATTTGACTGAAAGGCGTGTGTACCATTCTTAGCTTTCTTGACTACTTTTGAACATTGCTTTTCCCAGTAAATGTATCCTATTTGTTCTCTGATTAATTTGAACAGTGCTCTATTTATTTGTGACAAAATAAGAACACAAATTTGTATTCTTCCAAGTGCACAGCCTTTTGGATCCTTTTGCAATCTGCTTATTTTCTCTGAACGATTAAAAGCACATTTCAAAAACACATGGCTTCTGTAGTTATTTACGTACTGTTTTCATTAGTCTGAGTTTTAAAAGAGAAGAAAAGTTCTTTTTCAAGTTAATGGAGGTTGAGTGATATATATCCTAAATTTTTTGGGGGGGTCTATTTCTGGCTCCCTAAAAACTGAAATTTCAATGTTTAAGGTGGGAGAGAAGTTAATTCTGTCTGCCAGAACAAAGCCAAAGATGAATAATTGTCATGAAGTGATTCAGATTACTTGGAGAAACTTCTAGTTTAGCACCAGATCTTATTTTAGGAGGGCTGTGTATGTTGGAACTGTCTCAGGTCATCACAGTTATATATTGTCACTAAAAAAATAGTCCCTCAGCTATGTTTACATATGTTCATTCACAGTGCTTTCAAGATGTATAGTTACTACTATAGTAAGAGCTCTCCAAATTCCAACCTTTGCAAAACAGATGTCCATCTCTAAGCTTGTAATCCTAGGCTTCCTCTACAGCAAATGGAGAGCAATAGCCATTTTTGACATTCATTTGTTTCACGACAAAGAACACATCCAAACCAGGTTAGCTGATTCAAAAGTGCCTGTTTATCTGATCTTGCCATAAGGGGAGCTGAAGCAGATTAGCCGGAAGATGTTCATCTCTTGAATCATCTGAAGCACAATGAGGGCAAACAACCGCTGTTGTATGTGAAAAAAAAAGGCTTTTGGTATTATTTTGTCTCTGTTAATGAACACGTAATTGTGTTTTACCCTTCTGAGAGTCTGAGCAATAGCCAACCTCAATAGTAGCATCTTTGCTACCTAAAGGATCGGTGGCACTATTTTGTGCTGCTACTAGCCTAGCAAATGTGCTGCAGTTTAGGATGCAGACACTGGTAGGAACACGCAGAAAATGAAACTCTAGATGTTTTTAAGCTTTCCAATACTATGATTAGAGAGCTAATTTATGTGGAGTTGGAGAGGTAGCTGATCTAAGGAAGTTTCGTCAGTTTACAAAGCAACTAATGAAGCCTGGTTTCTGCTTCACTATGGGTTTCTAAGGATTTTTATGTTCATTGTGAGATGTGACTGATATTTACCTCCTGGGACACCTACAAAGTCACTCTCCTCTGTGGATTCTTTGTTGTCTAACAATTTCTTTGCTGATACAACAGCCATACTTTTCATCTAGTCTTTTGCAAAAACTGCTTTTCTCAAAATCTGTTGAGATTTAGCTGTCTTTGAGTTTTTCATTTTTGCAGTTAAATTTGGCTGAAGTCAGAAAACAACTTCCAGACACAAATAGATACAAGGCGTGATCAAATCTGCCTTGTTTCCTATGAAAAAAAGATAAACTATTACTAGCCAGTAGTGGCATTTTGCTGCACACTATATTTACACTGAAATCTAAAATCTTCCTTGCTGCATTCATTTTTTGTTTGTTCTGTTTACATGGGCTCTTTCTGGCCCTTCTAGTGATGAGTGAACTACTTCTTAATAAGGAAGTTTAAAGATTCTGTGTAAGTCAGTAGGGCTGCAGATTTTGACTTCACCACTGCAGGGCAGTCTATGGCTAAGAATGTAAAATTACTTCGGACCAAAAAAGCAAGCTACCTGGAAAGGAGGTTTCTTATTTCCTGAAGTAGAGGGTTTTATCTCTGAGAAGAAGGAATGCTCCTGTTTCCCCACAGACACTTGTATGCTCTTAGTAAGCACTGAAAAAAATTATTCTGAAAGGCATTTACATGCATGCACCAGGTGGTGTCACAGTGCTCTATATTGCAGTCCTTCCAGTTTTGGTGCTGGGTCTGTGCTGCCCATAATCAGGTTTCCAAGCGGATGCTGTCAGAAAATTCTTACAAGTGCTTGGGAGTTCTGGGTCAAACTGTACATGTCAAACCTCCACCCCTTTCTGCACTCTTTGTCACCTTAGAACTGTGTGGTTCAGTTTGTGCCTGCATTTCCAGTGGAACTGGATGACAAAATTGAACAGATGAAACTTTTTCCAGTGGAGAAATCCACAAAGAGTCTTTGGGAGAGAATAGAAGGAAAGAAACCTTAACTGTGTATTCCTACAAAGAGTAACAGTGAGCAGCACTTTTGCTCCCCTCCATGACCTTCTTGAAAGTAAATGGAGACCTGTACTATTTGATCCCATGAAGCATTTTGTTTCTTAAACAAGAGCTGTTGGGTCTGCAGGTCATAAACAGAGATTCTTCTGAAAAACCCAGGGGACAAACTGAAGAAATCTCTCTCATTGCCCTCTGCCCCTTTAGGGACTCAGAGGAGATCATGGGACCTTCTGATCTCATGGTCTTCCAGGCAAGGGACCCTGGCAGCATCATAAAAAGCATTAGTGCTGGAAGGGAATGGGCTCGACTCTCTCTGTCCTCAAAAAATGATGCCATTCTCCAAGAATTTCCTTCTCTTCTGGAGTATACCTAAAAGGGAGAAGTAGCAAGAGCTCCATGTCGTGTCTCCATGCCTGAGTCCTGTGTTCGTATCCTCTTAGGCTTTCTGTCCAGCCTCCCACTTTCATTGCTGGCAAAGGGTTTCTTTTTCGTTTGTTTATTTTCCTTCATCTCCTGCTACTTAGCAGTTTTAGTTTTGCCTTGAAAAATGAGGAAGGCTTCTTGGGATGCAAGCAAGACTTCCACCCACACAGCCTTTAAAGGCACAAAAAACAAGGTCCCAGTTGTTACTCTCCAAAAGCTGCTTAGTTTGGCCTCACTTTGTCTTGTTGTCCCTAAGCACAAGATAAGGAGAGTTCCTCTAAATATGAGGTTCGAACATGTCCTCGAGGCCCTCAAAGAAGTACTTGAAATTGCTTTGACATTCTGGAAAACAAAACAAGACAAATCACAACCTTATTGTTGCTTTCTTGAGGGGAAGGAAGGGCAGATATGGGCGAGCTGAAATTCCCCATTACAGGTTGGAGCTGGAATTTACATGTAGCATACTTATTGCCGTGGTTGTCCTGGTTGTGACTTTGAGTTCTTGCCTCAGTGGCAGGCTTCACCAAGGCAGCTGGAAACTCAAGATCTTTTCCAGGCAGCTGCAGTCTTACAGGGAGCTCCCCACAGCACAGAGTTAGTTGTGGGAGACCACTACCAAATGCTGGAGCAAACCTGAGTGAGTTGGCTGCAGCTCAGGGAGGGTGCTGTTGCCACATGAGTAAAGAGCACTGCAGCTGAGGGCCTCCAATGCAGCTCACAACACACTTGCCCACTCTGACAAAAGAGATCCTTGTCCTATTGCATTGTGGGCCACCAGGAGGTGGGGGTGGGAAATACACACAAGTATTCCCTTAGACACACCCTGAGCCTCACAGTAGGTTGCATGCTTCCCTGGAAGCAAGGCAATTGTGGAATGCACCTTATCTGTGAAACACAAGGGTTTTAGTCTTCTTCTGCAGGACAGTTTGAATCTCAGACAATTTCTTTGTAGTCACCTGGAGATACACCAGAAACTAGATGTTTTTCACATGAATCTACAGCGGTACAGTGAGAATTTTCATCTGGACTTAAAAAGGAGTTCTCAGAAGATTGCCTGATAAAGTGAGCACGGTTGTTTTATGAACCATTACTGGACAAGTGTTTTGAGAACACCAGGGACAGAAAGGAAAGTTCTTGTTAGCAATATGGAAAATCACTGCTGTTATCTGAGGTAAGGCAGATGGAATTCAGAAGCAGGGGAAAAAGCCACATGCAAACCAAAAAGAACCCTCCCCAAAATAATACAAGGTAGAGGTTTCTGATCTAAGAACTACATTGCTTACTGATATAACTATATAATATAATCTTATTATTTTGTGCTGCAGGAGAGGAAAGGTAAGATAAAATTTTCAGTATGTTTGCTGTTTGACTGTACTTTGCTAAACCACACTTCACTGAACTAAGCACATACAACTCCGCACATAAGCCCCAATGAAAGGACTTCAGCAAAGGCAAAACCCTAAGTAAATAATCATGCAGTTACTGTTCTTGTTGTACAATGTTTGCATTTGTCTAGAAAAGCAAACTCAGATACTGGGGAAAAAAAGACAGAAATAGACTTACAAACTATGAGATCATAGGAAAGAAAATTCTTATGAATTTTAGGTCTAACAAAAACAGAAATACATTTAAATAATGGTAACATTGGTACACAATTTCTGAAATTTCATCTCCCAGCATAAGCTTTGAGGAGCAGGGGATATTTTAAGGCAGAACAAGTTCTTCAAGTAAAGCAGCCCTCTTCCAGGGCCAAATTTCCTAAATTAATTCAATCTTTTCAGGATACCACAAACTGTGTTCTTAACTGGCAACCTCCTAGTTCAATCAGGTCCAACCAGGCTACATAAGCCATATTCCCATGACTAATCCTGTAAATTCTTTTTCAGCATCACCCATTTAAAATCTGTTATGTTCAAAATGAATTTCCTTAAGTGTTCCAGTTTTTCAGAATTCATATGTGAAATGCTTGAATTCCTTTCACAAACTTGTCTCTAGAATAGTGAAAAACACCACTGTAATGTTATTATTATCCCAAGACTTTGAGAAAACTACCAAAGAGTAGAACTCAGAACTCACAATATATTTTTGATATTCAGTGCAACAGCTTCCATATCAGAATATCTTTCTTCTGCAGAGTGGTTTAAAGACAGAAAACACTTCATGTTGCCTTTTGCTACTCTTTTGGCTAGCCTCCTCTCCACATTTGACAGAGAAGTGGTTTCTTCCAATGCCGCTGAGCTTGCCCAGTTCCAGGAAATCATGGATCTTCCAATGATACACAATTACTCTTACAAAGAGTAGCTTGAAAAGATCATTCTGGAAGTTTGTTCCTGGTCACATTATATGAAATATTTGAATGGTGAAAACCTTGTCATTTGCCTTGAAGGTTAAACAGAAAAACTAGTCATGAGACCCTAATTCAGTTAGTCACACAAATGCTAATCTCCACACCCAGAAGCAGCTTCTTCCTGACTATACCAAGGCATAAGTCTAGCATAATGATAACAGAAGCATAACAGGTTTTCAAATC